ATGAGTTGTCCGCATTTTAAGAGCTGGGCGCATTTTAAGAGCTGGATGCATTTGATCCGCCCCATATATATATATGGCTGTGATTTATTCTTATTTCTTTCACTCAGCACCATTCACACTGGAGCGCGACCATATATATATATATGGTCGCGCTCCAGTGTGAATGGTGCTGAGTGAAAGAAATAAGAATAAATCACAACCATCCAATCAAACAATCTAATGTCTGAAAAAAAGTCAATATTATACCTTCATTAAGGGTATTATGGACAATTTATCACCAACCATTAACCACATCAGTGGGTCCCACCATAAAAAATCCATCCAACCCCACCTAACCCACACGTTTCCAGCTATATCTACTCTCTCTCTCCCCCACATCTCTCTCTCTCTCTCTCTCTCTCTCTCTCTCACACACACACACACACACACAGCACACACACATCACGTTGACGCACACACACTGATGCACACCGCCACAGTTGCCGCCCTTCTCACCGGCTTCCTACTGCCCTTCCCGCCGGCAACCTACTGCTCCGCCGCCAACGCCAAGCATCCGCCACTGCTGGAGCCGCCGGATATGCCGTGCACGAACACATAGGCGGGATCCCCGCCTCTGTCGTCGCGCCGTCGAGCGACTTTCCTCACCTATGATTGCACGGTCGTCTGCTCCGCCAGCGCCATCAGATCGGACGATGTCGAGATCATCAGGAATCTGCCGGAAAAACCGTCCCCGCCGTGAATTAGAACCACACAAATCTCCCGAAAATCTCGACCTCCGGTGGGATAATTTCGATGGCTATGATATCAAGTGTGAAGAGGGGCAGCGAATTCGACGGTGAAAGGGGTTGACGACCATCTTCAAGTTCGCCGCTGTAACTTCTTTTGTGTTGTTGAGAATTTGAAATCTGATAGGGGTCTTATTGCAATTTCACAACTTTTTATTAAATGATAATTTAATCCATGGATCAAATTTGAAATTTTTAAAAAATTATAAAAAATATTAAATAAAGAATATCAAAATACTAAATTCACTTTTATAATTAGCAGGAATAATTAGCATAATCTGTTTGGAGTAGTGTAAGATGAGGGCGAGAGAAATTCCGAGATTATTCCGAAACTGCAATGACTAGACTTCCTTTTGAATTTCATTTATTTTGTTTTTCATATATATTGTAAAAAAAAATGATTATTATATAAAAACAATAAAAAATATAAAAACAATAAATAAAAATATTGAATGCTAAATAATTTTTTTAAATACAAATTATATTTTTTTAACAAGAAAAGAATATAAAAATATTAAAATACTTACTTTTATAATTATAAATAATATAATATTTTAATTATTTAGTAAAATTCAATGTACAATTATATCTATTAAAACTAATTTTAGAATACACATAATTTACATGGGATCGTATAAAGTAGTGCACTTTATAAAACAATACGTTGCAATTTATAAAACAACACGTTGCACTTTATAAAATAAAACATTGCACTGTATAAAGCAAGCTACATTTTATCACCGCACTCCACAATTGACGTCAATAGATTCCACAAAAAATACTACACAACGTAAATCTAATATTTTTAACATCCATCACACCATCTATCCACAAAAAGACACAAACATGATAACATACCAAAATTATAGTAGTACACTTTATATATCAACACGTTGCACTTTATAGAATAACACGTTGCATTTTATGAAACAACACGTTGCACTTTATCACCACAATCCACAATTAACGTCAATAGCTCCCGCCAACATACCGCACAACATAAATATAGAAAACAGATCTACATAATACTTTAACATTCATAATATCATATGTCGACAAAAAACACAAACATGCTAACGTACCAAACTTACAGTATTTCACTTTATATATCATCACGTTGCACTTTATGAAACAACGTGTTGCACTTTATTAAACATCACGTTGCACTTTATCACAACTATCAGATCGCACAATATGGATCGAAACCGGCCGAACTCAAAATATTTCAACCGAAAATAATATAAAAATAATAAATATAATTAGTAACATATTAAATAATTTCTTTTAATACAAATAACAAGTTATTTCAATAATTTAGAATAATTCGGTTAACCGAACCGTATAAATCAATTAATTATGTTCATTTTTAATTTGATTTGGGATAAAAGTTTGGTCGGTTCAATCTGCACAATACAGACCAAAAATGTGCGCTATAGTGTGGGACAAATTGCATATTAATAACTGTTAGATTGTACAGTATATTCCGTTACCCATATACTAAAATTTTCGGTTCAAAAATTTTATTTTATAAAATTTTGATTATCATTTCAATTTATTTATTTATTATTTTATATTATTTTTATATTAAATTACATCAATTTTATTTACTATTTTTTATTTATTATTTTATATATATGTGTATGCCAATTAAAGAATGTATACAATAATATTTTTTTATGACTTTTATAAATTATAGATTTAACCCATGGGTAAAATTTAAATATAATTAAATTCTTAAAATTGCATTTAAGTCCTAAAAACATATCAAATTTCTAAAAACATGACCCCAATTCTCTAAACCAGTTGGTGACAATTGTTCAACTCTGTTCATTCCCGCTTTAGGTTCTTCCCCAAATTTCTTTCACTTTGGATTGCTGGAATTTGACTTTCGAATGCTAATTTTCATGGACGACTTTAGTGTCTTCATCGTCTCCGGCCAGTGACCTCAACATCCAGCGAGATGAAGACGGCGAATTTCGGTGACTAGACAGAGGAGCAAAGTGACTCAATTTTCGGCAAATGAAGATGGTGGCGGTTTATGAGCTGACTGTGGAAGGTGGCGCTGGCCAGTTTCCCGATGGCGGTGGCGGGAGGCGCGTGTTTGCTGTGCGGCAGCGGCAAACTCCATGTTCGAGGGTGGAGCTCCCGTTGGCCGCTTCTACAGTGGTTGATGGTGGAGCTGAGTTCTACATTGGTGGTCATTGTCGGCGACGTTGATGTGGCCGCCGACGCCGTCGATGGACTGACGTCGACGAGTTGAGTATCAGCATAGGATAATTATTTGTTATATTATATATCTTATTAACTTATATTTATCTTAATTAATTTGAATGTAATATATCTTATTTATTATATTATATTTATCTTAATTAATTTGAATGTAATATATCATAATTGAAAGAAAATTCAAAACTAGCTAGTGTGTGGATGCTAAAATTCAAGTGTTATTATAGTGTTTAAATAATTATCCTATGTTGATACCAAAAGTTGTAATTGTTATCATAGTTGAAAGAAAATGCAACCCTAGTTACCAAAGTTATAATCTTGGAGATAGAAAAAGTTACAATCTTTCTCTTAACAAAGTTATAATCTTGGAGATAGCAAGATTATAATCTTTCTCTTCTCCCGCCGTTCTTCATATCCACCATTCTCTCGCCCTTCAGATCCCATCTATTCTCATCAGAGTCGTGCATGTGACCGTGAAAAAATGAAAAGTAAATAATAAAAAAAAAGAATAAATTAAAAAAAAAGGGTGTTTGTATTGAACAAATCATTTGAACACTTAGTTACAATTAAAAATAATACAGAATATGATAAAGAATACTGGTATCATGCCACATCAACATTTTGAATTATGTGTGCCTAAAATGCAGAAATAATGAAATAAAAATTTCAACGGTCAAATTTAAAAACCTACCCAAAGAAATATAAGAGATAAACTTGAGTTTTTCTAAAAAGCTCGTCCTATAATACCAAACTTATTTGTATAATAAAAGTTTACAAACTAATCAAATAAGCTATAAGGTAGTTTATGCTGCTTACCAAACACACTCTTGGTATTTACCAATATAGATGCTAAAATTCAAGTGTTATCATAGTGTTTAAAGAATTCAATGTTGATACCAAAAGTTATAATATCATAGTTGAAAGAAAATTCAACAATAACTAGTGTGTGGAAGCTAAAATTCAAGTTTTATTATAGTGTTTGCATAATTATCCAATGTTGACACCAAGAGCTCATAGTTGAAAGAAAATTCAACACTAGTTAGCAAAGTTATAATCTAGGAGATAAAAAAGTTAAAATTTTTCTCTTAGCAAAGTTATAATCTTGGAGATAGCAAAGTTATAGTCTTTTCTTCTCCCACCACTGTTCATATCCACCATTCTCTCGTTGTTCAGATCCCATCTATTCTCATAAGAGTCGTGCATATGAGCATGAAAAAATGAAAATTAAATACTAAAAAAACATAAATAAATTACAAAAAAAAAGTGTGTTTTTATTTAACAAATCATTTGAATACTTGGTTAGAATTAAAAAAAAAAAAATACAAAATATGATAAAGACTAATGGTATCATACCACATCAACATTTTGAATTATGTGTGCCTAAATGCTGATATAATGAAATATAATGGTAAATAATAGCTCATAAATTTTTGTAAGTAAACAAATTAATAGAATATTTAATAAATTATTTATTAAAAGAATATATGTCTTAGATTAAGGGATTTTTCTGAACCCTTTTATAATGGATTCTTAAGACTATTTATAGTAAGATGGTCTGGTTACTGTTCCTCGGGCAGTACAGTTTTGCATTAAATGGAAAAGAGAAGCATTAAATGCTTCACATGACCCTATAAAAACTTTCAGCCGAGACAGACTCTTGTCAGGTCCCTTCCCGTCATTAATGATGTGGGCAAAAGTTGCTATTTTTTTAAGCATTTCTGTAACCTTAGTATGATCGGCTCGGGTCTTTGCACATGCTTCTCTTCAATTTAGTTAAGTCTCGAGCTCGGCTATTCTATCAAGCGATCATCTGACTGGGTTTTCCATTAGATCACATGATTGTATGACCTTAAATGTCCTATTTGTCTGACCGGTTTTTTCGACCAGTATCACCTCCTGGTCAAATCTCCTTCACCGGGTCGTCACAGGGTCCGAGTTTGACCTAGTGATGTTGTCTTCGACCTGCTTGGATTTTCTAACTTGTTTGTGCTATTTATTGGTGTTGGTCGATCCTTCGACCAGTGGTCTTTCCAGGTCGAGTTCCTCCTTGATCTCATTCCACAATTGCATGCCCCTTAATGGCTTACCGACCCGAGCTCTGTACTTAAGAAAATTTTATATCCGGTGACATCATTTAAATGTGTATCCTTTCAGCTCAGCTCAGATATCAACAATGATAAAATTATTTGGCAAAATTAGCTGGCGAAGATGTCAACAATGATAAAAATATTTGGCAAAATTAGCTAATAAGCCAGCTGAAATAAAAATTTCGACGGTCTTATTTGAAAACGTACCCAAAGAATTATATGAGATAAGCTTGAACTTTTTAAAAAAGTTCGTCCTACAAAACAAAACTTATTTGTATAATGAAAGTTTATAAGCTAACCAAATAAGCAATAAGCTAGCTTATGTTGCTTACCAAATACACTCTTAGTTTTAACCAATGTAGATAATAAAATTCAAGTGTTATCATAGTGTTTAAAAATATAACCAACGTTGATACCAAAAGATAATGTTATCATAGTTGAAAGAAAATTCAACAGTAATTAGTGTGTGGATACTAAAATTCAAGTGTTATCATAGTCTTTAAAAAATTATCCAATGTTGATATCATATATTAGTGTGTGGATGCTAAAATTCAAGTGTTATCATAGTCTTTAAAAAATTATCCAATGTTGATACCATATCATAGCTGAAAGAAAATTCAACACTTGTTAGCAATGTTATAATCTTGGAATTAGCAAAGTTATAATCTTTCTTAGCAAAGTTATAATCTTTGAGATAGCAAAGTTATAATCTTTCTCTTCTCCCACCACTGTTCATGTCCACCATTCTGTCGTCCTTCAGATCCCATCTGTTCTCATAAGATTCATGCATGTTTGCATGAAGAAATGAAAAGTAAATAATAAAAAAATAAGAATAATTACAAAACAAAAAATAAACATTTAGTTAGAAATTAAAAAAAAAAATATATGATAAAGAATAATGGTATCATGCCACATCAACATTTTGAATTATGTGTGATTAAAATGCTGATATAAGTAAATTAGTAGTAGTTAATGACTCATAAATTTGTGTAAGTAGACAAATTAATAGAATATTATGTAATATCATGTGGCTAACTTTCAACAAATTATATATAATTTTGAAGCTTTGGACTCGATCTATCCTACGGTATCTTCTATTTCATTATACGATACATCAAAATTTGTGACACAATGTAAAATTATTTCACCTATCATACCATCTTTGAAATAAATAAGATAATCATATAATTCTAGCTCAATTATGTAGAGTGGTACATCAAATTATTTTTCCAATATCAAAGAACCATTTTTTTTACTATAATTGATTCACCTCATCTTCGCCATATCCCTATAAAGACATGAAGTTTAACGGTTGAGAAAGCACACCAGTAGCGTACCAACAGAAA